GGCCTTTGCGCGGCGACACAATAATAAAAATGGCATTTTCGGGATGTGAGAGACAAAAACGACAAATACCGACCTAGATATTGAGGAGAGGAATCGTTTGCCGCTGTTTATTTTGAAATCGGTCGGTTAGTTATCCCCCGAAAAACAATACAAGTTAGNCCCGAAAAACAATACAAGTTAGCCCTCTAGATCCGGTTTTTCTCTGATATCTCCGTGAATTGACAATATTTTGACCAAAAAAAAATACCGACCTGGCAAATCCCGACATCTGTTCAAATCCGTTGAGTTTTTCGAATCGGCAAAGAACCCCCCCCTACGAAAACAATTCAAGTTTTTCCTGTTTTGCGCCAATAAAAAGTCAAGAAAAAAAAAACTCTCCGTCGCGCGATGCGCCTGCAAACAGGGCGCTTTCCGGTACTTTCAGATTTCGGAATAACCCAATGGGGAGAGAAAAGTTGTCATTTGTGCTGGGAAAATTTTGGATTTTTTTGTGTGCACGGACTATACAACGCTCATACACTAACGAGTTGCTCCTTACAAAAACATCATCCTCGCTGAATCGCATGACAACGACCTCGAGGACCTCGGCGAAGAAGATGTTGAACAGCAGTGGGGATATAGCACACATCCTTGTCGCACGCCCTGTGTCACGAAGAACCAGTCCGATAGTTCGCCGTCATCCATGAGCACCTGGGCCCGCATTTTCTATCGTGGAATTGGCGGAGATGACTTCGATCAGCTTCGCGGGAATCCCGGCCCTGGTCAGCACCTTCCATGTAGCATCTCTCGGTCCACCGAATCATACGCCTTTTTCAAGTCGACGAAGCACGACCAACCGTCGACAGCATGTCGACGGTGGATCGCCCGGGTCGCAATCCGCACTGTTCCTCCGGGAGGATGTTGTTGGCTTCGCAGAAGGCGCTTAGACGGTTGGTGATGATCTTGATGGGGACCTTGCCGACGTGAGATAGCAGCGAAACCCCCCTGTAGTTGTTACAGTCGGACCGGTCACCCTGCTTGTACAGCACCTTGATGGTTGCATGCATCCTTCCACTCTCGCGGAATGTCTCCTCCGTTCAACACCTTGACGGGGATGGTATGGAGGTGTCCCAGGACGAAGGGTTCGTCGTCATTGATCTTGAGCAACTCGGCATTATAAAACAAGCTGATAGCGACGAGTCGCCCGCCTCCTTTCCGCGCTCTCGCAGTCATGTAGTTGTACATATTGCCGCGCCTTTGGCGCATGGCGTCCAATCACCCGTACGTATGGTAGATGGGGGCAACCCGCTGTGCGATATTGATCCGGACACCAAAGACCGGCAGTGCGTGTTGGTGCTGAACTCTTCGTTCGGGGTCAAGCAAAACTGCTGTTTTACCAAACCCCGCAAAGCGACCAACAGCAAAATACGCATCTTCAGCAGCAGCGGATGTGTGATAGATCATCAAACGATGCAGTCTGTGTACAATGAAATACAACCCATTGTTTGCAGGCTCTTGCCGTGTCGAGAGAAGCCACGTTGTGATAAAAGCGGCGGTGTCTGTGGAGGTCAGGATACGGAGATTGAGGGAGCACAGATACACGTAGATAAAGAGTAGGATCTGAGGAAATATGTGATAGTAGATTGCTGTCCTCCGAGGGTCCCCAACTCTTGTGGTCCCCAACGGTTGCGAAGAGTTGATGGATCTTTAGGAGAGTGGGAAAATGGGTCCACGAAGGCTCGCCCACTCCCCACTCTGAGCACCACCCTAGCTTGGCTGAGTTCGCTCGGTCACGCTTGGCATTCCTCGCCACATTGTACCAAAGGAAATAGCCAACCTCCGGTGGCAGGACATAGCCACCACAACCCCGGACTCTACGCTCGCCCAGAGTAGAGGGCTCCAAATGTCGCGCGATTTTAACTGCTTGGGGAGTCGCACAACCAACAAACTGCTCATGTGTATTGATGATGCACAATATCCATTGTGAAGACACAACAACAATCAAAAAAATATACCATTGTTATTGTCATGTACCATTGACCTTCTTCCCCTCGCTCCTCGACAAGCTTTTGTTTAGACATGGGTTGTAGTGAAGGGGGGGGTCTTTCTGGCGAGCAGGGCTAGACCTNTTCTGGCCGTCGGCGTAGGCAGTGATGCCCATCTCATTTTTGTGCGCGGAGGTAGACACCATCAGAAAGGTGGACGGGCACTACACGGCCCTAGGTTTGCTAGACGGAGCTGTATTGCCTCAGTAACCTGGCTTCGCCATCAAAGGAGGAGGGAGCAGGTGGCGACGCGTGCTGAACTGGGCTGGTTGACCATTCCGCGCGAGAATTTTATTTTTATCAGACCAAGAACCTTGAGTGCATTGAGGGAGAAAGCGAGGAACGGACTGGGAAG